AGTTGCTGATGCCACCCGAGCACTCTCTGAGACAATGTTCGGCACGCAGGTATGCCTTCCGTCCGCCTGCCCATTCCCTCTCGTCCTACTATCTCCTCTCTCCGGACATGTGTGCAGCCGAGTCAGGAATTTTTGTAAGTTCTGCAGCTAGCGCCGCCGATTCATAGTACGCTCCGCCCAATTTAATTATGTCTGCATCAATTCATGCGCCTACATATTTCCTAACGTTTCTCTCTTTTCCGCTTTAAGGCTTATCTGGAAGCGAGTACGGTTTTTAGGAAGTGGCCCCTAGCTAAACGCACGCCCCGCCCAGGGTGGGCGGGGTTTAGCATGTGTGTTCCGTACATTGGCCCATGCCCTACCCAACGCACGATTGACCCGGCCAACCATTGCCTCTTCAGGGGGTATAGAATTTTCGGACCCAAGCAGTCAGACGTGGCCGTTCACGCATGGTAGGATCCTGATGCTCCACCTGAATATCTTTCAACCCGATCCCTGCAACACTACTTGGTTGAGAAAAACCACAAAATAACAAAGAAGTATGAATCTGGGTGTTTAATTTTTTTCAGATCACAGTCCAGCGAGCTTTTTGGAAGGAAAACTACTTATTAAGGGAATGGGAAGATGGCCAAAAGAGTGTGACGATAACAGAGATTGAGTCGGCTAGAATGAGTTGCTCAATCGATGTTCTTGAATGAATTTCTTTTTGACGTCAAACGTGTAGATGTACTTATACTTCCTCAATATGATCCACACGACTCCAACCACTTTCTGGACTGTCACCTCTTAGCGTGCTGGACCTAACCGTACTTGTCAGACTTTCGAGACTACTCGCGCTTAGCACTGTATTAAAAGCCTTTCCCAGAGACTGGGTTGCATGGGTGAAAGCGTTTTCACGGCGGAAAGAGGCCTTCACCGTTCCCCCTTCTAGTTGCGGGCACTATAAATCATCCATTCCCTTGCTTGTCTGAACTGGCGACCCTAAACCATTCCTTACCTAAAACCTGAAAACTAGACTAGTTAGTGAATAACTTCATTTGTACTCTCTAAGAGCTGACCTGGCGGATTGATGCGCATATCTGTTGCACTGAATGTGTTAGCGACCATTTGTGTGCCTTGCTCCACAGGTGTAACTAAATTTCAACTTCGTTTCATCTTCGAAAAACTATTCAGATGCCTAAAAGCTCACTTTGGGATAGTTGGTTCTTGCACTTCGGTTCCGCATAGCATACCGTGTCCGGATTACATTCTGGTTCACTGTACTCGCATGCTTTTCCCGCAGAGCATGTTTTCTTGTCGCAATTATTGTCTGAAATAGGACGAATGAGATTCTATTGGTAAGCAGATTCCTCGATAGACAAACGTGCGAAGTGGGGAAACTGTGGGTGCTACTTGGTCCACTCGTTGAGATTAATGTAAAAAGTAGTTGAAAGGGCCCGAGGTAAAAACCAGTCTCATGCAGTAGATTTTCAGCGCTGTGCGAGTTTGCGATGAAGAATCGCTGAGAGGCTGTATGAGGAAACGGAAGGCGAGGGAGTGATGGAGCCGAGAAAATGAAGTGATCCCAGGCAACACTCGCGAATAGCAACACTCGTTCATTCCAGGATGGAGCCACGCTGTCGAACCGCCGGCACTAGCATCATTGCTTCAAGCTTTCGAGTGCGCCATATGGGCTCATCTTCCACGATTCTCACTGATTTCTCGACTCAAAATGATGACTCATGATCGGGTACTGTGACCTCAAAACTAAATGAAATAGGCAGCTCCTACGGTATACCTCGCATTCTATAAACGCCTTTGACGAGCGCATACTTTTAGCATTTTTTTTCTCAAAGTTTCTAAATTTCATGAGTGTTTCTCGCAAATATTTTGACGTTGTAAATTTTATTCTTTTGTTTCGAATCATTTATGAGCCTCTAAGGTGGCATGCTAATCCTTTTAAAGGCATGATCACCTTATTTGGAAAACCCTACACAGTTTTAATTGTCAGTTGGAATTATGAAGTGCCCAACTCTTTGCTACCTTGAAGGGAAATCCCCAAAACGTGTGGGATGGATAAGCCTAGCAGGACAGAATTCGGAGCGCAGGCGTTGCGTGGCGTCTTTTCCAAGGAGAACAATCTTATAGCGCCCTATGGACCTGCAACGTACCGATCTGGACGCCCACCGCGCCCCCGCTCACAAATGGACGACCGTTCCTGACACTCGTGGCAAGATACCATCGGAAAACTCGTCCGAAATTGCTTTTTGAGTCATTAAGAACGAAGGTTTTCTCTCGCAGGTTTCTCACCGTTTCCGTTCGGTTTTTTGCCATTTTTTCAGCACCTACACGGAGGTTTTGTAGTGACAAGTGGCGCGCTTACCACTCCGCGGCGCCGGGTTCGAATCCCGGGTCGACTCCCGCCCAGGCCAACCAAGCCTTCTACCCTCCGGGGACGGTAAATTGGTACCAGATTCGTCTGGGAGGATAAAACACTGACTTGTACATCGGCTGGCCACCGCAAGTCATTGTATAGGCCACATCGCATTCAATAAGCCACTACGATTCTGAATGGAAGTAGAATGCGTGCCGCATCCCACAAAGGGATTGATCAACGGCGAAGACTTTATCCTTTTTATCCTTTATAGCACCCACGCTACCGTTTTAGACAGAGCACCAAATTATCGTGCCTCACGCCTATAATGCGGCCAGTTTGCACAGAAATGTGCCTTCTAATAAAAGACGTCAGAATAAGTCTGAATCAAAAACTCGTACATTTCTTATCCAACAAAATCATATTTTAGATATTCACATATTCTTCGAGTTGACTCGCTACCACTTCTCGAAAACATATTCATCAATGATATTAATGTCTCTACCTTAACGCAAGCCATTAAGCTCGCCCCAAACTTTTAGTGAGCTACGGGCAAAGTACACGCTAAGGATATGAATGATGTAATGTGAGGCATAGGAGGAGCAATGCCATGAAAAGACCGCAGACCCAGGTCATTATGCTGAGCGTGTGAGTTGTAGCCATACTCAATGGTCCCATTTTTTCGCTTGTGCGATGTCAAGAGCCCCACTAAAGCCCGTGTAACCTTTGCCAACTTCCTTGCAATTCATTCAGTGATAACGCTTCGGTCCTAAAAACAAATTGATCTCACCTGGATCTTTAGCCATGCATCGTGGGCCTGTAAGGGTCTGAACGCAAACTGTTCCATGCGAGCACAAGTTCCGTGTTATACATGAATCACCATCTTCACCGGGTGGAACTGAAATAAACATTCTGAGAAAAGATAATTATACAATATATACAAAGAAAATTAACTGGAACAGAGCTCAAGGTACTGCACTGGCTAAGACTGGCTGGATACATGACGATTACCAGTTATGATCAACTTTCACTTTACAAGAGGAGCATCTCTGAGTACAGTCTTGTTCTTTGCAAACCTTCCTCTTCATCGATGTTGCCATCCTAGGTCCGTACCAAGCGACTGGAAGGGCTGCTTTTGCTACCCACGCCCCTGTCACACGTTCTATCATTCACAGGGATCATGACTATAACTATGTGCTGTTGCCCACTTCTTCACGCGCGCGTGCTGTCTACCTGACTGAGAACAAAAACACGCATTAGGGACGCACTCAGTGATAACATGACAGAATCCCTTCGTTATCCACGTAATTCGGTTAGCAATCTCGAAGGTTGTCCCACTTTTAGGGCTAGACAGTTACTGACCATGGGAGCGGCCGGGTCAGTTCGTAGATGCGTTATTCTAAAACGTGCATTACACATAAAAGTGCCAGATATGTTGCGACCCTATGCACTCCTTATCCCTGAGACGGGGTAGGCGTGGCATTCGAACATGGCACAGAACTGGTTACTCGTGGGATATTTCAATTTGAGACAACCGCCATCTTGTTCTTTGTTGGACAGAGACGTGACCACATTTGGGTCAAAATGAAAATATCTCTCCAAAAGCATAGCCACCACGACGTTTAGTTGAAGTACGCAGCCACGCCTACCTCATCTCAGGCATTTCGAGTGTATCTATGTATGAACGCATCAACGGGTGACGTGTTGCCTCCTCTTTTGATAACTTTTCTTTCTGATTCCTTACCCGTGCAGCCGTGTTTCGCTTCTCTCATACCGGTCCTACCTCTGCTTTTCAGTCAAAATGCCTTCCACAGTTTTTTTTCAGTACTTTCTGCTTTTAACATCCACCTAGTTCGTACCTGGACCACAGTCGATGTACAGTATGGTTGTGTGAAACACATGTGGGAGGGGGTCGTACTCGGCCGTTAGGGAGGGGGAGGGTTCGTATTTGGTCGCCTTCCCGCTCCAGCGCTCGACGGAAATTCTTTGGGTGAAAAACTGGAAAATGCGGGAACTTTTGTAAAAACAGGTATTAAGCTGTGAACTTTTGGAAAGGGGTAGGTAGGTGCTGGGGGAGGGAGAATCTCGTATTTATCTGCTCGACTTTCACAAGCTTGCTCATTTGTGCGATGATGTTTAAATTTCTAGCGAAAATCACTGAAGTTATAAATACAAATGTATATTTCGAAATTCAAGAGACTGGATTGCCGATAACTGTTTTACACCACAGAAGTTCACGCTACGATTTTCAGAAGCCACCCGAAAAACCTATATTTAAGGCAGCCGAACACAAATAACGCAACAATAGCAACGGCAAACTGGGTATTTGCAAAATGCATTTCAAATAACACAAAAGATTTAAGAACAAGTGCAACTGCCTGGATTATGTAAGTGGTTCTGGATGCAAATAAAGTACAGTATAATTCGAAAAAAAACAAACATAGTAAGCGAATTAACTCACTATACGACCCAGCAAATGCGGCAGCAGTGAGACCGAGGAGGAGGTGCAGGAGCTGGAATGACAACGAATTATCTTAACATACATATGCGCTTTGCAAAGAGCTCATGTTAACTTTGGAATGACTGATGATAGCATATGAGCACTCTGTCTTGCTATCATTATATATTTATAATGCGATTAGGATCAGGGCACGTGGTACGTTCGAGATGCTGAGCATAGAGGATCGTATTGCCTACGGAAAAAAATTTAAAGAAAAAAAGAAGAAAGAAAAAAAGAATTTTCCCGTTTTTTCTCGTGTCACGTGAGCTTATATTGACACCCCTGCCCCTCCCGTCTTTCCACTCGACGTCACTTTTTGGGAAAAAAACGGAGTTTTTTTGGAACTATGGGAAAAAAGTTTTATAACGCTAGTGCAAGTATAGGTAGGATGGAGTAGTACCAGAGGAGGAACTTCTGTGAGGGTTGGTGGTTTGCGAGAATTTCTTCAACAGAAGGACGTACCTTGATCAGGATGTAGTCCTAGGACAAGCTGAGAAAAATTTTCACTGCTTTTCATGTTGTCACCACAATTTTATTTCGACAAGTAAACAATTTTCTCAGAGCTCCTTCATACAACAGGAGTGCTACTTTTGCAGCTCTTCTTTATCCCTTTTACTTATGCCCTTCCTGATGGTGACTCAGACAAGGCTATCATTTAGCTATCATTCACACATTCAATTGAATG